ATTTTTTCTAAAAAGAAAATCATACAAATTTTAAAAATACTTAAAAATATCCACAATGACAAAATAAAAGACCACAAAAACCCCCAACCCCTCAATACAAAAGTAAGCAGAAAATGAATTGACTAACTTTCCTTCACAATGGGTAAGCTTTTTTTTTTTAAATGGGTAAATTCTTCAAGGCTAATAATCTTTTGCTTTATTTACTGACATCCCAAATGTTCTGAGTAGTGCCTGATACATAGTGGGTTCTCAATACAAACATTTAAATGAATAAGTACATGTAAAAATCAAACCAAAATAAAAACTCCACTTTGTGGGGTTAGAAGTTCCTCAGAATAATTTTATGGCACATTCCTTCATTACAACGTTTTTAAGGAGAAGATAAAGTAACAAAAAACAGATAGAGGACACAACACATGGGTGGAAATCAAGTTAAGCCAAATAGAGTCATTCTCTGGCTTAACGGAAACCAAGTAATTCCTCTGGAAAGACATGCTGCATTCTTGAAAACCTCTGTTCAATCTTAATTATCCAGTATGCACACTTCATGGAGAAGATCACTGAGAAATGTCAGAACTAATAGAGAACAACATCCACATTGATAAGCTTCTACTAAAATAGATTAAAAACTGAAAATGTTGCACAGAATAGGAGGTGATATTTTATTCTCAAATACTGTTGTCTTTCTTTGGAGAAGAGATAGGGATGAGATCTTTCTGAATATGTCCCATGATCAATCTTTGTGCAGGACTAGGGGCCCTGGAGAAAAAAAAACATAGTAAACAAACTTTTTGTTCTTCAAGATCTCCAAGTATTATCTAATCCTATATCCTGCTATAAAATGGTATGTAGTTTCTTATCTATAAGACGTCTGTAAACTACATTTATATTTAAACTTCAGACCCATTGCTCTTAACATTACATCACTAAGCCAGGAAATATAGAAATAAATTTTCTTTAAATCATAATATTGTATCTAATTTTCCACAAATGGTTAATAATTGGAAAAGATGTTTGCCCAAAAGGGGCAGAAATGTGAACGAACAGTAGGGCTCGTGTGTGAAACCAAACCAAACCACACTCACTGCCATCAAGTCAATTCCGACTCACAGAGACCCTTTAGGGCAGGGTAGAGCTGCCCGTGAGTTTCTGAGACTGTAACTCTTTACTCGAATAGAAAGCCTCATCTTTCTCCGGGGGAGTGGTAGGTGGGTTCAAACTGCTGACTTTGCAGTTAGCCACCCAAAGTGTAACCACTACACCAGCAGCAACAACCCCCGCCAGAATAAAGCTAATTGCCTTATTTCATAGTTCTGAGTTAAACTGAAAAGAACAAAATAATTTTAAATTGCTAGAGGAAAGACAACCACAACCCAATCGGTGCACTGTATTTTATGGGTTCCTTTTGTTTGTGTTTTTTAAATTAGTAAATGACATTACTTAAAAAAACTGACTGCCATAGAGTCAGTTCCAACTCTTAGCGATCCTATAGTACAGAGTAGACTTGTCTCTGTGGGTTTCTAAGACTGTATGTAATTCATTACAGGAGTACAAAGCCTCATCGTTTGCCTATGGAGCATCTAGTGGTTTCAAACTGCTGACACCGTGTTAGCAGCACGATTTGTAACCTACCCACCACCAAGGCCCCTCTAGTTAACAGCAATCCCAGGAACACTGGTATTTCTCAAGGCTTGTTCTAAGGTTCTCTCTTCTCATTTTATATTTTCTCTTTGAAGTATTGCATTTATAATCATAGTTTCATATACCACATCAACAACCCCTCATCATCCTCCCTCTCCGCCCACCGTGCACGTGCGCACACACGAAGAAACCAAACTCACTGCCAGCAGGTTGATTCTGACTTAAAACAATTCTATAGAACAGGGTGGAACTGTCCCTTTGTGCTTCTGCTATTTAAAATCTTTTTGGAAGAAGACAGCCTTATCTTTCTCCCGCAAATATCACTAATATGAAGATTATACACACATTCTTATCTCCAGCTTAGACTTCCTGAGCTCTAGACTTAAACCTCCCATGGTCTGATTGATAGCTCAAAGACTTTTCAAACTAAACACATGCAAAACTGTATTCAGGATCTACCCTCCCTCCACAGTATCTATGTTGCTCAGTAAACTCCTTACTTCTTATGTATTTCCACACTTGGTGCTTAGTGGGTTACAAATTGGGTTTCAAGGTCACTAGTGTAAAACTACCAGCTATCCCCAGAGAGAAAAATGAGACTTTATTCCAATACAGGTTTATAGTCCCAGAAACCCACAGGGACAGGTAGACTCTGTCCTGTAGGGCAGTTATGAGTTGTACTCAACTCGATGGCAGTGGGTGTTTGAGAAATTGGCATTACTTCATAAATATCTCTTGAATCTGTCCCCTTCTCTTTTCTATCTCAATCATTCTAAGTCCAAGGTTCCATCAGTCTTCACACTGATCACTACAAATGTTTCTTTACTGACTCCTCCATCTACTCTTGCCACAGCCATATATCCCCTCATTTTCCACACTGTAATTAGTATATTTTCAAAAGGCAAATCAGATGTCAATTCCCCAATTAAAAAAAAACTTCAGTGGTTTTCCATTGTCCTTAGTACATAGTCAAAAATTATTTAACATGGTCAACAAAGCAATATAATGTTAGGAGCCCTAGTGGTGTAGTGGGTTATCCCTGGGGCTGCTAACCACCAAATCATCAGTTCTACAAGAGAAAGATGAGGCTTTCTGTTCCCATCTTGGAAACACAAGGGAAACTCTACTGTGTCCTATATGGTCACTATGAGTAGAATCAATTAGATGGTAATAAAATGAGGCAAGGCCATAAGGATCCCTAGAGGGACTGTTGGCTAACCACTAGCTCTTAACTGCAGTCAGTGGTTGAAACCCACCAGCCACTAGAAGAGAGAAAGATGAGGCTGTATGAGTTTGAATCCACTTGATCGCAGTGGGGTTCTGGGCCATGCATGGTCTGGCACAACTTATGCTTCTACAGCTTCATCTTAAATCACATTCTCCTTGCTCGAGCAACATCAGCCTTTATTCAGTCCCTTCTTTGTACCACGCTCCCTCTAGCCAGAGGCCCTTTGCCTGTGCTCTTATCTCACTCAGCCTAGAACACGTTCTTTCCCAATTCTCCTCATTAGTTCCTATTTATCCTTTCCATTTTAGCTTATCCACCTTTTCCTCAAGATAACCTTTCGGATTCCCTAGATGCAACACCCTTATAATATACTTGTTCTTCCAACACCATGTTCCTTTACGAATCTGTGCTAATAAACTAATTTTGTACTGATCTAATTTGTGATTTTTCATTTATCTGTGTGATTCTCAAGTTAATGAATTTCTATCTTAATCATATCATATGCTCCTTGAGGGCAGGGGACAAGATGTTTCTGCTCACTATTAAATATTCAGTACCTGCACTTGGATAAAGCACTCAACATCATTAAAAAATATATTTCTATAATAGCCAGTCGATTATCTTCTAACAGCAAAATATAGCATAAAAGGATACCACTAATGTTTAATTTTTCTTCCATCTTTTATAAATTAGCTTTACCCACACCCACCCCCTGGAGGGATTAGAAGAAACAAGAAAAACAAGAAAGTGAATGCATAAAATTGGACATCATGAGGCAAGTCTCTGTACCCATTGCTTGAAATAATGAATTGAACAAAGTGTGCCTTTATTCTTACATACTCATGTAGAGCAGGTTCAGACTCATGTATTTAAAGAAGTCCCGAGTGATCTAATAAAATACTAGCTTAGAAGGGAGTCTTGGCAAGGTTTACACAGATCTAATAGTTTAAAGCAGAAGGTGGGTTGAAAAAACAAACACTTCCCCAGAAATTTATCTGGCTTCATTGGCATAAAATCTTCTGGCAAAACAGAAACAAGTTAGAGATTAATCGCTGTGTGGTGCTTAACAACAGCCAAAAGAAAAATGTATCACCGCCAGCTAGGCAAACCCCATTCATAGCAATCCGACAATACTGCGCAGACCTGCTCCTTCAGGTTCCTGAGATTTTTAAATCTTTATGGGAATAGACAGCCTCATTTTTCTCCCAGAGTGACTGGTGGGGTTTGAACCACTGAGCTTGTGCTTAGCAGCTCAATGAATAGTCCACTACAGGACTAGGGGGCATTTAAAAATTATTAACAATGAAAATAATATATTTCAGTATTCTTCCGCTGTACAGAACATGGACAACTGGGAAATGGTAAGGTTAAAAAAAAGGTTGATGATACCCAGGAAATGAAGATGCCATTAAAAACCATGAACAAATCATCTGATTCTCCTTCCCTCTTTATGAGGAAAACTGTAGAAAGTCATTTCAGATATTTATTACACAGAATACTATGTGAAAAACAATTTTTAGAAAAGGAAATGATTTATCATTTTGAAAAAGACCTGTCATTCTTAAAGAGAGCTGACTGTCGTTAAATGATACTGGTGTATGGAATGAATTATCAGGGACCCTTTAAATCTACATTTAAATAACAGTCCTACAGTAGCGATAAAGTAGGAAATCACTACTAAAGTTTATAGGTCCTTAAAATGGAAACTTTTTATGATCATATAATAGAACAGGAAAGTTAACTTTTAAAATGCAGCAGAGTATGTGATGCATGACGTTACAAAATGCCTAGGAAAAGAACATCCTTTTTACTGGAAAGTATGCATTAGCCAAATTTTTTTTTAGACATTATAAACTAAAGTATCTAAGAACAAAGAATGCTCAACTTCCATGCTTTTACATCATATTAAGTGAGATATGCCTCCTTATCATCAAATTCAAGAAAATATATCTCACAAAGTGTTAGTTAAGGTCTTTGATGATTATGGAAGAGTACAGATTCTTGCTGTACACAGCAAGAACTATAAATTATAAAATGACAAATTGTACTCAGATGTTCCTAATGCTCCCAAACCAAGGGATGATTAATAGGTTAGCTAAAGACAGAGCCTTCAACTTAATTTTATACTTACCAATAATCCACAGTATAAGAAGATAGTCTATTCTTTCCAGGGCTGGCCCCATTGTATTTTTCTTATCCTCATTGTAGACAAGAGAGTACAGGTTTAGTAACAGCAGGAATGTGAAGTATGATGCTCCGTGAATAATAAACTTCATAAAAGGTGTGTGAATGATTCTACCAAATTGAGATTTAGGAGCTATCAAGTAACAAAGTGACAAAACGGGCCAAAAGATGCCAACTGTCAAAACAGTCATTATCTTCTTACAGGTGGGCTTACGCCGGTAACCTGACATCTGTCCAAACCAAACAGTGTTCAGGAACTGCTGGCAGTTAGACTGGGAGACAAACTGTAAAGGATGCACACACACGCACACACATGTAAAATAAATCTATAAGATCAACTGATAAAGTCATTATCTAGGTGACAAACATTTTAATAATCACTTCTAAGCATTTAAGCTAGCTCTTTTCCCCTCTTACAAATAATAAAAGAGGGCAGAGGTGAGTAGCCTAGGCTCTGAAGCCAGTGCACCTGAATTCAAACCCAGGCTCTGTACTTACTAAATGACTTTGAGGAAGTTTTTAAACCTCTCTGAGCCTTAATTTTGCTTCTATAAAATGGGAGTAATAGTACCTACTCATGAAGTTGTTGTAAGGATTAAATGCAATGCTCTTAAAACAGTGTCTGGCATTCCACATGTACTATATAAATGTTAACTACAATTCACCTCTTTAGCCATTTTACCACATTCAATTGATAAAGGCTTTTAGGAAATTTCAAAGTTAATAATCACCAGCCATTGAGAGACATTACTCTTCACGAAAATACAATTCACTAATTAATGCCTATGGTTCAGAGAAACTACTTATTTTAGTTAAAAGAAGTCAAGGTGTCCAGATTCAAAAACAAGTGAAGCCTCTATATACATGTAATTCATGCTCTAGTAAAAAACTGAGAATTTCTTAAATATATTAAAGGTACTCCTAAGCCTCTTTGAAATTGAATTTTGTAGATGAAAAAGGAAACATATTCATAAACAGGAGGAAATTTCTAGAACAAGTACAGGAATTGGTGTACCAAACCCTAAAACGCTCTTCAGTTTATAAATTTCAGAGGCAAACATTTCCCACTATAATGTTAATGTTGTGGATTATAATGCAAGGATTCTGATAACTTTGTATACAAGAATAATATTCAAATCTTAAATTACCAATGCAAAGCAGATGATTAGCTGATCTAAGACAATTGTAGATAATTTTAAAAGATAATTAAAATTGTAGACAATTTTAAAAGATAATTAAAATTGTAGACAATTTTAAAAGATAATTATCCTGGGATAATTTGTGGAATATGACACTGCAGTAGTAAAAAGTATTGTTTAGATACTTTTTAAACATTTTTAATAAACAACAATTAATTTTGTTGTTTATTGTGCTTATCAAGGAATTTCCTAATACATCTTTATTTTGGGCAATTAAGTCTTATTTCATTCTTTATTATTCTGCTCAGATTCCATTCTTAATCTGTACCTCAAGGTGCAATACCTGAGAAAGAAACAGAATTTTCTTCCACCAGTTTAGTGCAATCTGAATTTAGTTCTTCCCTCCCTTGTGTCTGAAAGCAATCTCAGAAGTGACTGCTGCTCCTGTCATTCCTTTATAGAATGATTTAATTATGTATGTATTTGGAAGAATAGCATTTTGACTGGAAATATTGGCTGGAACACTGCTCTTGGAGCCCTGGGTTGCCATCTAAAATGTCCTACTCCCCTGAAGCCACCAGGCTGTGAGTAAGCCTATGCTACCTCAGAGAAGCCAGATATAAAGAAGCTTCAGAAAGTTTTGGTAAAAAGTTAAAAGTTAATGTGATTTTTTCCACAAATTTTTTTGAAGTCCCCTCAGATACGCACTCCAATCAACAATCTCAACCAAACATGAGAATGAAAATGCTTTTAGCTGATTAGAGCCCTCCAGCCCCTAGTTACATGCTTCTTTTTCTTTCATTTTGGTTGTCTATGAGCCTTTTAAGGATATAGTTATTATTAGGGAATGGTCTCTTAGATTTTTTTCCTTCCTAAGTAAGATAGTCCTAGTTATTCCAATCTATCTTTCAGGTTCTTTACCCAGTCATTTAAGCTGACTTTATACCTGGTACCCTTTTTAATCTAGTATTTATGTCCATTTTGGTTGTAGAATAAAGAAATAAATATATCAAAGATCAAGTCAAAATGTGTAATTAGTGGAAGATTATACCATGGTTTCTATATTTTGCTTCTATTTACCACATTTCTTTTTATTCCACAGATACATTGTTGACTTATAATCTTTATCCACAATGACCCAATAGTGCTAGTACTTAATTTTTTTGCCTATAGTCTATTTCAAGCAAGAACCTTGGTGTAGTAGGGAAATGTAGAATATTTGATGCCAGGGATCTGGATAAGTGTATACTATCACGGTTATCTTAACGTAAATACTTTAAATTTCCATTATGAGACTCAAATTTTAAACCAAGACCAGAAGCCTTTATCTTTCCATCTTCCATTCCTATCTTAGGTCTCATTATCAGTGTTAATCTAAATTTGATAAGCAAGCTTTATCACAACAGTAATGTCAATAATGGATCTCAGAAGCAATCATTTATCAATCTGCCATTACTGGCTATCATCTTCCAATAAAGACTCATGTTTAGTAAATGATCTGAACAATTAAATTTGAAGTGCATACCTTCCTTCTTCAAGCTCCTGAATGATGTGCATGTGTGTGTATGGGGAGCAAAAATGGGTACTTCCCTGAATAGGGAGGGTTGATGCCAGAAGAGCCAGATTCAAATTAGTTAAACCATGCACCTCTCCACCTTTGGGTTTCACGATGAATTAACAAATAAGAAGAATCAGGACTATATAATACTGGATACTTTATTTTTAAATAGAAAGGGACTACTACTCTCGGAAGACTATTTAAAACAAGATGAAGAAAACACACTCAAGATACCAAAAAAAAAAAAAAGGAAACTTCATTATAAAGGTGATTACACAGGTTTTTACCTTTGTAGTTACTGTTTAGCAAAAACACCAAGACAACATCCATATTACAGTATTAATTATTAAAAATAATAGTAACTACCATTGTTGACTACTTGCCAAGTGTTAGCATTTACTGTGCCAAACCCTTTAAATATATATCCTTAATTAATTCTTAAAAATGAAAGCCCAGACAGGTTCAATAACTTCCCCAGTGACACATAAACTTTTCTACAGAACTGATGTAGGATTTCAACCCATTTATGTTAGTCCAAAGCCTTTGCTCTGAGCCACTAGAGTACTGTGGAGGAAGAAATTTGAATATATTACAGAAAACCTCATACCTCCTTTTGGTTATATTTTATAGCAAGTTTTAGACGACTTAAATTCATTCTTTCTTCTAATAATCCCCGTTTGTCAAGTGGCTCATCACTAGATGTATGGTTTAGGATCACCTCCAATTCACGTGAATTCCGGGCTTGTGCAAGCAAATCTTTAGCAAACATTTTACATTGTCGAGCTAGTTCTTCATAATCATTCCTATAAAATGCAATAGTCTATTATTAGAAATGTTGCTGCCATCTTCTAATTAAACTATATTCATTGGAACTTTTTACTCATAATATTTTAATGCAGACAATGCTACACAAAATCTGAAGTCATTTTGAACTCACACAGACAAAGAAACCCTCTGGTACAAAACTTCTCTACTGCTTTGGAGACAGCAATAAGATGATTATATTCCTTGTGTCCATAATAACCTTAGATAATAATCTTAGATGAATTATTATCTTAGATAATAATCTTAAGATAAGGCCCCATTATATATACTGATATTCCTATAAATCCTGATAATATTTCCCAATCAGTTCTCTTAGCTCATCTGCTCTTCTGTAAGTTTTGCTAAAATTTTCTTTTATACTACAAATGTAAAAAATAGGAATATTTTATTTATTTATATATTTAAAACATTTTACTGGGGGCTTGTACAGCTCTTATCACAATCTATAAATACATCCATTGTGTCATGCACATTTGTACATTTGTTGTCATCATTATTTTCAAAACATTTTCTGTCTACTTGAGCCCTTGGTATCGGCTCACTTTTTTCCCTCCCTCCCCCCCAACACTCCCTTTCTCATGAACCCTTGATAATTTATAAATGTTTATTTTTTCATGTCTTACACTGAACAATGTCTTCCTTCACCCACTTTTCTGATGTTGTCCCCTGGGAGGGAGTTATATGTAGATCATTGTGATTGGTTCCTCCTTTCTGCCCCCACCTTCCCCTTAACCTCCTGGTATCGCTACTCTCATTATTGGTCCTGAGGCATTTATCTGTCCTGGGTTCCCTGTGTTTCCAGCTCTTATCTGTAACCGGGTACATGCTCTGATCTAGCCAGATTTGTAAGGTAGAACTGGGGTAATGATAGTGGGGGTGATGGTGAGGAAGCATTCAAGAACTAAAGTTTTATGTTTCATTGTTCTATACTGCACCCTGACTGGATCGTCTCTTCCTTGTGACCCTTCTGTGAGGGGATGTCCTATTGTCTACAGATGGGCTTTGGGTCTACACTCTGTACTCCTCCTCATTCACATTGATATGATTTTTTGTTCTGGGTCTTTGAGGCCTGATACTTGATCCATCGATACCTCATAATCACACAGGTTGGTGTGCTTCTTCCATGTGGGCTATGCTGCTTCTCAGTTAGATGGCTGCTTGTCCTTTAAGACCCCAGACACTGTATCTTTTGATAGCCGGGCACCATCAGCTTTCTTCACCACATTTGCCTATGCACCCATTTTTGTCTTCAGCGATTGTGTTGGGGAGATGAACATCACAGAATGCCAGATTATTAGAACAAAATGTTCTTGGGTTGAGGGAGTACTTGAGTAGAGGCCCAATGTAATAGGAATATTTTAATGCTTGCCAACTTTTATCAAGGTTTTCTTTTTATAATAATCTACATGTTTATGATGCTTATGATACTAAATTAGCATTCTGATACATTTTTAAAGTATTTATTTGAATGAAATTCTAGTTTAAAAGAAAGCATGGTAAGAAATCTCTTTCAGAAGCTGTACTGGGCCAATCGTAAATCTTAATTGCTTAATAAAGGTAGGCCTAAATTCTTAATTCTTTTAGAAAATATCAATTACATTAGCTTATGTTTGATTTTAATAACAATTGGAAAAATAAAGTTAGAAATAAATAACTATCAGTTATGGAAATGGGATCAAACTGTAGAAAAAATTATACTAAGTTTTTGTTGTTTTTGTTTCAAGGGAAAGAAGATTTCCCTATTGGTACAAAGGTTTTTTCTATGCCATGAAGAATAAAGATGTCATTTCCTTTGAGGATAATATTTTCCTCATTCAATTTGTTTGTCAAGTACTACTTAACCCAAACAGTAAGTAGCTAGATTTCTTTAACAAATTAAGTATTACTTACTTTGATATTATTTTTTAATTGTACATTATTGCAAAAATAGGTCACCTGTAAATAAACAATTTATAAAGCACTTGATTTAGAGGTAAACTTTATATACATATTTAATCTAATTTACTTAGTCTTTCATAGATTAATAAAGATGACTAAATGACTATAGTTTTGATAGAAATATAGTAAGCTAAAAGTGTTAAGTTCTGGTTCTAACTAATAGCACTTCCAGATTTAACTCTGTTCCTAATTAAATGCTAATATTAGACATTGAAATTTTATGCATTTCTTTATCTATAAAAACAATAGGTTTATCATAATTTCCAATGCTGACATGATTATTTCAATGATTGTGTCTTCTTTGGAGGAGTTTAATGAATCTTAGATCATACAGGAATGCATAACTCAATGCATAAGATTAAAATGGTAATTTCTTAATGTTTGAAAAATGATTTGTCAACAGCTTTATGTTCTAATAAAGTTCAAACTTGCATTAAGTTACATTTTTAACCATTTTTATGTGTTTATCAAAGGACATATTTTATATAAAATGTAAATACATTGTAATTCATACAAATTTAAACATAGAACTCACAAATTTTAAAAAGCTATAAACAGGTATCTTAAATCACAAACATGTGGTTCTGTGTATGCAGTAGGTGGAAGTCTGAACTTGTCCAATCTTGTCAAGTCACTGGAGGGGTATCACGCGAAGCATGGGGCTCCAATGTGATCTGAACATGTAAGGACAAACAGGAGTAGTATAAAGACGCCTGGAAAGTTTGCAGTGGGAGCTGCTGTATATGGCGATCAACTCCCCCTTCAAAGGGTCATCTCTGGTAAGGAATTTTCTCCAAGCTTTCTCTTATCAAATCCACAGGATGACATTTTCTAAGGATTTAAAATTTTTTATATTTTAAACCAGACTGCTTTTTCTTACTCGCTGCTTCTCTCTCCGCCCCTCCCTCTTATCCTTCATAGGGAAAATTATAACTAAATATCCTTTAGTTATATAGAGGACATGAATTGTGCTTTTATCTTCATTTCACAAGAAAGACTATGTATTAATCATTTTTAATCAGAGTATTTTATTCTTAGGTTTACACGTATGTTCCTCTGACCTGAAAATTCTTAGTTATTTAGCAGTGAAATGGATTATAGCTCTGTGTGTGGAATATCCCTGACATACAGAAACCATTTAATTTGCTTTTGAAAGAGCTGAAGATTTAGGTCCCAAGATAACTGTACAATCTAGAAACGAGTAAAAATTGAAAAAGTGGAGCCAGTAGCACATGAGTTTATTCTCACTTAGGCTACCCCTTCCACTATCCCCCCTGCTGCCCTGGAAGGCCCTGAACAAAGCTGAAAAAAGGGACTAGGATGATATTAAAATGAACTAAGGAGCACAATAGTCTGTCTGCTCCTTTAAGAAAAAAGTTCAAAATCAAGGGATGGCAAGGAAAAAGTTGTGGTCATTTTGGATCAAAGGTAAATCAACACAATTTATAAGATGGCCTATGAAGAAACTCAGGCTAAAAAACAGTTCTCAAATAAAAGACATTACATAATTTCTAATTTCCATTCATTCCCACCTGAATTCCACCTCCACAAGGCTTAGTTCTTTTAAATCAGCACTAAGTTCAAATGCTCTCAGAATTGGATCTTCCTCTGTTAGCATTATTAGAGCTGGACTGGCCAAGCATCGATATATATCAAGACGAAACCTGGATAAAATTTGATTCCATATTGTAAAATAAATATACATATGATCAGTATTTTAACCTATAATTTTCACAAATGTATAGTTGAAGTATTAGATTAAGAGAAAATTAAAACAACGGTCACATATTACAAGATGATACATGTTTAAAATGAAAAAGACTTAAGTATCAATTATTTTGAGCTTTAAATATTAAAAAGCTTGTTCCTTAAAAGCTACTTTAAAAAAAAATCATTTTATTGGGAACGCCTACAACTCTTATCACAATCCATAAATTCATCCATTATTGTGTCAAGTACATTTGTATATTTGTTTCTATCATCATTTTCAAACATTTTCTTTGGGCTTTACTTGAGCCCTTGGTATCAGCTCCTCATTTTTTCCCTCCTCCTCCTCCACCCTCTCTCATGAACCCTTGATAATTCATAAATTATTATTATTTTGTCATGTCTTATACCAACCAATGTCTCCCTTCACCTTCTTTTCTGTTGTCAGTCCCCCAGGGAGGGGGTTATATGTAGATCATTGTGATCAGTTCCCCTTTTATCCCCCCACTCTTCCCTTACCCTCCTGGTATAGCTACTCTCATTATTGGTCCTGAGGGGTTATCTGTCCTGGATTCCCTTTGTTTCCACCTTGTATCATGTACAAACCCTGGTTTGGCCAGATTTGTAAGGTAGAATTGGGATCAGGATAATGGGCGGGGAGGAAGTATTCAAGAACTAGAGGAAAGTTGTATGTTTCATCAATGCTATACTGCACTCTGACTTGCTCGTCTCCTCTCTGTGACCCTTCTATAAGGGGATGTTCAGTTACCTACAGATGGGCTTTGGGTCTCCACTCTGCACTCCCCCTCATTCACATTGATATGATTTTTGGTTCTTTGATGCCTGATACCTGATCCCTTCGACACCTTGTGATCACACAGGCTGGTGTGCTTCTTCCATGTGGGCTTTGTTGCTTTTGAGCTAGATGGCTGCTTGTTTACCTTCAGGCCTTTAAGACCCCAGACACTATATCTTTTGATAGCTGGGCACCATCAGCTTTCTTCACCACAGTTGCTTATGCACCCACTTTGTCTTCAGCAATTGTGTTGGAAAGGTGAGCATCATGGAATGCCAGGTTAATAGAACAAAGTGTTCTTGCACTGAAGGGAGTACTTGAGTAGAGGCCCAATGTCTATCTGCTACTTTAATACTAACCCTACAAATATATGTACATAGATCTATTTCTCCATCATCATATATAAATATATTTACATAGGTACATGCCTGTTTTCAGACCTCTATAATTGCCCTTTTTCTCCTAGTTCTTTCCTCTATTTCCTTTAAAAGCTACTTTTAAGGAATTCGTTTAGTGATTCTTTTTACAGATTTGAAACTTCATATTGTTCAACCCAATTTACCGTATATATTCAAGTATAAGCTGAATTTTTCAGCACATTTTAGATACAGTTTTGTGGTAAAATTAGGTGCCTCTGCTGATATTCAGGTCAGCTTATACTCAAGTATATATAATAATTAGATTTTTACCTTTTAACCCTGTATCAATTTTAATAAAATCTGTTAATTACTAAGAAATGTTTTATATTATGTAGATGGTTATTAAGTTTTCCTTGTCTCAGTGCAAGTGTGCTTTAGTGTGCTAGATACACACAACAAAAGGCTCATTCAACCAGAGTCTGGCATTAAAAAGTGTTTCAAATCTTAAAAAGACTTAAATCATTGCCTTATACATAATCTCCCACTAATAGAAAAGTACCTCTTTCCTGTTACGTAAATTAATGTTCATATTTTAGCATTTAAATAGAAAAAAAGCACAATAGGTTTTGCTAAATTTTTCAATTATAAATACACAAATGTAATTCTTAATTTACTAATTGGCATATTTTTCCTTTAATTGTATCTGCAATACATGCTTTTTATTTGGGAAAAAAGGAAGCAGTTTGGAAACAAGACACTTCCTTCTCCTCACATAAACTCTATTTCTCAAAGACAGCCTCTAATGCAGTGTTTCTCAAATTTCCTAATGCCGCAACTCTTTAATACAGTTCCTCATGTTGTGGTGACCCCCCAACCATAAAACTGTTTTCATTGCTATTTCATAACTGTAATATTGCTACTGTTATGAATCAGGTGACCCCTGTGAAAGGGTCAAGGGGTTGAGACCCACAGGTTGAGAACTGCTGCTCTAGTCAGATTTGTGAATACTCATCAAGATCATTTCTACTGCCACACAAACATAATCAGATACAGTAATTAAAGGAACTTCCTTTATAATGTAATATACTATGAACCTTTTTCCTTTGTCGATACATAAAAGATTAACCTCATTCTTTACACATGATTTTCCATTAGTTCATCTGTTTCCATTAATGACATGCAAGCTGTTTCTCTTTTTTTTTCTGAATAAACAATGAATGATGTCATTGAGAACATCTTTTAGCTTACATATTTGGAACCGCTGGGTAGTGTATTTTAAATTTTGATAGGTATTTCCAAGGCAAAACAATCAGGAAAACTCATTTTTTCCCTTACATTTTCATTAAGGCCAAGTATTATCAATTTTTAAAAATCTTTGCCCTGCTAATAGGTGATTGTTAATCTTTTTCATTTCAATTTATAAGATCAATGCATATCAAGGAAATTAGGTGTCTCTTCAGTCAAGAGTTTCAGATACTCTTCCCTACTTTATTGCTCCATTTTTACTTTAGTGCTTATGGATGTGTCTATATGAATAATTTTAATTTTAATTTAAATAAATGTATTGATTTATATTCCTTATTTGAACTTTCAGAGTTTGTCTTACTGAGTTAAAAGATTAAAACCTGTAAAATGCATTGTATTACTCTTAAATATTGTTTTAAATTGTGATAAAATATACACAACAAAAACTTTACCCAGTTAATAATTTTGAGTGTGTGAGTCAGTGGTGTGAAGTATATCCATGATGCTGTGTAATCACTACTATTTCTAGGTCGTTCTTAGTATCCCAAACAGAAATTCTATACCCACTAAGCAATACTTTTACATAACTACCTTTCCAAACCCCTGGTAACCTCTATTCTTTCTGTTTCTGAATTTGTCCATTCTAGATATATCGTAGGCGCCCTGGTGGCGCAGTGGGTTAAGCATTGGGCTGCTAACAGAAAGTCAGCCGTCTGAACCACAATGCAGGAAAAAAGATGTGGCAGTTGGCTCCCCTAGAGTTTCCACGTTGAAACCCCTATGGAGTATTTCCACTCTGCTCAGAGCTTCAAAGTCTCAGTTTAAAACACCAGATTAAAAAGTTGCTTTGTGTATCTTCGGATCTCCAGTAGCCAGCATGCTGAAACTGCTGAAAACCAAACCCAAAATCTCATACCACTGGTAACTGAATTATACAACCAATCTTATATGTAGCATCTTTCTGTTTCCATCAATATATCTGTTACTTTATTTTATCAGACAGGTACTATAAGCTATTTTTAATTACTTACGTTATCAGTCATGTCAAGAGATCCTTTGTATTACTAACAAATAATGAAGTTGTTGTCTTACTTTCTCAGATTTATCACCTTACACTTAATCAAAGGTAACAGTAATAAGAATAGGCCAGGAATACCTCTCCATACACATATAAAATAACATCCAAGTACACAAGTAGACAAAAACCACGTTAAAACATCAATCACTTCATGTTACTGGAGACTATCTTGAAACACTTATTAGAGCTTTTAGCAAGAATGCCTAGAGTCAGTGGCCTGCTTGCCTGTGTCACCATCAGCTGTTCCCCCATTCGATCAGTGAAAACTATAACTGTACCTACTTGACGCTCATAAACTTGCACTAAAGGTGAAGGCAAAAAGGATTCGATGTAGGAAGCAAAAACCTACAGCTCGATTGGATAAAACAGCAGGCATGGTGGAAGTAAGGAAAACAGGAAGCTTCACTAGACCAAAGTTGCAGTCTGAGTTGAGGAAAACAGTGAACTAGCCAGAAATCTAACAGTGAGATGCTGGAAATAAGACATCCATAGAAGTGTTCAGATAACTGCTCCACAAATCCCTGGCTGACTGGAAAATTACACATGTGCAGGGGAATTTAGTGTCTGGTGAAAGAAAAAAGAATAAGGAAAAATATTAAACTGGTGGCAACTCTGAACATATTGCCCAACCCACACATAAATCAGAAGACAGTAGGACCTTTATGGGCTCAAAATGTATTTGCACAGCTTCTTCTCAAATCACTGGCTTATCCTAAGTTTGCAGACACAAGCATGACTCTGAGAAAGCAAAGCTAGAGTGTGAAAATACAAATAAAAAGCAAATGAAACACAGACATCAATTACTGTACATTGTGGGGGCACAGATTCTGCAGCTAAGAGCCAGGTAAGTGACATTAAAAAAAACTTCAGAAATCATCAAACAGAACTGAGTGTGTGTGTGTATATATATATATATATATATATATACACATACAT